CCCCAGCGCGCGCGTGGAGCTAAACCATGGCTTGCGTGATGCGCAGAACGTGTGCGCACCAACAAAAGTAGGCACCGTCCTTAAAGTCAAGGTATTTTAGTCATTTTTGCCATGTGTGATGTACAGCGTATCTCCTAAATTTAAGGAACATATCGACATAATTGAACGTTTTCGGCTCGAAAGGGTTGTCATACACCGGTAGACTAAGAGTAGTCGTTCTTTTGCCTAGTCCGTCGTGCATTTCGCGAAAGAAAACCGCGAGATAAAAAAAATGGCCGCGCGAAATCATGCGCACAACCTCATACGCACGCGCAGGGCTCATTATCCGGGTAATGGGCCCGGGGGAAGAACTTCCATATATGGGCTCTATAGGTATATACAGCTCCAAAGAATATGGTTTTTTAGCCGTTTTGGTGGGAAATAGGGTATCGATTTTGGCCATTGTGGTCTAGGCCTGTCCCGATCTCAAATAGGGTAAGGGTTTTGGGAAACCGGCCGCACACCCCTACCCAATTTTTCTGGAAGCACCCCCCTCGGGGGTGGTGGGCAGCCATGGACAAATGTTTCGTCTTTTTCATAGCTACAAGACCGACACAAAATAGAAGGTAGCATATGGGTAGTGAATGGCGGCTATGCAACTTCGTTTTCTCGTCGACTGCCTGGTGCTATGTCCTGCTGGTGAGAACTAACAAGGACAAAACACCTGTTCATTGCTGCCATACCGTGTGCAATTGGTTGTGTGCATCAGCGTACAGCTTCTGTCTAAACCGTAGAGATGTTTAATTTGACCATTGACTTAAAATAACGAGAATTTACGTTACGTGACTGAACACTTATCCTTCTTAATAGATGACGAGAAGTTTGAACTTTGCACCATCAATCCTGGCCTTATCCTAGGCCCTGTGTTACACGGATCTAAATGCACAAGTATGGAGGTAAATATTAAATAAGTTTTTAAGCTGATTAATTAAGCGTGAAAAAGTCTACTGTACTTCGTCAAAAAGTGCATGTTCTTAATTAATCCTTTTAATTAAATCTCTTAAAGTCAAAGTTAGGCCCCGTCCACAATAAGCCGGAGGAATACAAAAACGCGACAGTCAGCGGTCAGTTTGGATTTGTGTTTGAGGAAGACTCGGTCAGGATAATGACGCTGCCTTAAACTCACTTGTTATAGACTTGCCGTGCAACGATAACTATATGCCATCTGTGCACGTTCCTATTCACTTTATAACGGGGCCTTAAACACAGACCGTTGAAGGGTCAGTGAAACCTACTTGTAATTCGTGGAATAGTCTCCCTTGTCTGGTTTAATAACCCAAGGTAGATTCAGAAATTGGTTTAATCCGTCAAGATCTTTTAATTAATATACGTTTTATGCTAGAGATGGCAATTTTAAATGCTTATCCTCATAAATAGATACCAAAAATGTTTCAAAAACTACGTAGCGCAAATAATTCCCTTTCTGGAAGTACATCTTTGTAATGTAAAGAATTCAAAAAGCTGCAGCAACCCTTAACATTTGTGAACCTTTACATTTGTGATAACATAACGGTGTTACCTGCAACATCAGTTTACTCGTCGTTCTCGCCAGCACAACATGTAGGCCTTTCAACAAATATCCGGATATATTTTGGGATCTGATTTAGAAGTTTCCGATATATTAGAAATTATTAAGGTATTTAAAAATATTCATAGATTTTTTTGGCTGAGCGCTGTGTTTTCCTGGCTATTTTCTTGAAACAATACTCTGTTCTGTGCCAGAAAAAATCCAGTTTAGCGATTTCCCAGGCTAAAAATGTGTTCCATATCACTAACAGCGCTGAAAGGACAATTTTCGAAAATGGTGGATGCTGGTAACATCGAAGCGGCTAAGTCTTCTTCCTCAACGCCTATTACTGCAAGAAAATTTAGAAAATTTCGCCATAAGTGATTCAAAATCGATGTATTTTTACGACAAAAATAAGAGTTATTTATGGGGTTTTGGAGAATTTAGAACATTTTTTGTGATATTTAGGAGATTTTTTGAGAATTTCTCGGCGCGTGATGGGAAGGTTAGATGTAATACCGTCAAATATATCCAACAGCTTTCCCGTGTTCTGATTGGCTTATTAGATTCTGTTTGAGCTTACAAAACATTGTGTAATATTTAAGATCTTATTTTAAGTTTCACAGACGTTTCCTTCAACGTGAAATGCCAATGGTGCCAAAGCTATCCATGCCAGTTACTGACGTCAGAGATGTGGCAGGAGCACATATCACGGCCATGACGTCACCTAAAGCTCCCGGTAAGAAACCAACCTCGATCCCAGTCTCTCTCTCTCGTTTGCCTCCTTTGTCGTTGAGGGAAAAGGGAGGCAAATAAGAGAGAGCTTGGGATCGAGGTTGACGGTCAGAAAGCGCATTGAATGGTAGCAAACAAAGTTTCAGGCAAGTCATGTTCTCTATTCCAAATGTAATTATTTTAATTATAATTCCTCGCGTCTTCTAGGAAACCGCTATGTTGCAATCACTACCTGTATATGGTTGCGCGACTTGGCAGTCATCCTTGATGAGGAATTTAGACCTCTTGGTAAGTTGCATGGTGTAATATTCTACCCTGGTTATTGCTATTCATGACATGGTAATAAGTTATGGGGAATCTCTCTGGCTTGTGACAAACCTAATACCAGGCGAAATAGAAGCGGACAGCTAGATCAAGCCTGACTTACTCGTTAGGTGGGAGGGTGGGCCGCCAACCTCTTCGCCTTCGCGGCCTCGAGTAGAGTGATGGGGTGGAACACTTGTAAACACTTTTATACTGTCATAGTCCCCAGGATAACAATTATCAATACAAATAGGCCATTTCCGAGTTACCTTGTGCCTCTGTTTCAAAACGAGTCCTCGGCAAAACCTTTCACATGAAAATGAGTTTGATTTGCAAGAAAATGAACCTGTAGGTGGAACACATGAGAGTAAAAACTCTTTTGAATTAATTAAGTTAAAAACGAGGTTAGTAAAGCCATTTTTAATATTTGCAAAAGAATTTATAATTGGCAGCCATTTAACAAAAAAGGGTCTATATAAACCTTAAAGTTGGACGAGTAACAATGAATGTATCTATGTGCATTAAAAACTTGAAAGTGGTGTGGTCTTAGAAAAACATTTCAAAGAAGCGAGCGTCGCACTATGTGGTCCTTTCCATTATAATCTTAACGTACCTTTAATTTAAGATCTATCACGGGAGGGATGACTTGGAAAATTTCTAACCTTTCAGTAGTGTTAAATTAACTTCGTTCAAGAAAGTTAGCTAAGTTCCTGTATTTCGTTCTAAAGGTTACAATGTTCCCACAACGCAAGCTCCGTCGTTTGGGCTGAAGATTTTGTCGTGTTTTGATGCTTCATTAAAGATGCTTCTGCCTTCTCTCGGCCACGAAGTTAAGTTCGACAACTCAAAGGTAATTATTACCATAGATAATAGAGGGGAATGGTTATGAAGCCCGGCAAACATCAAAGAAGCAAACAAAGATGCAAAGATTTATGTTTTATGGTCCATGACCGTGCACAATCTTTTGTTTTGCGTTCATACACTATGCGTGAGTTACGTAATCGAAACATTTCTATTGGTTAGTTGCTCGGCCAGTGGTAAACAACTATTGTGTTTTGTGCACGGTCAAGGCTAAAGAAGAGAACAAAAACATATAGAACAAAGAACTTTGTCGAGTTTCGTAACCATTCCCCTCTATTAACTATGTTATAACAATACTGTGCGTTGTCAATGTGTAGTGGAAAGTGGAAATAAGTGAAATGTGGAGAACGTTTAATGTTACTATTTCAGAAACATACAATTTGTCGAAATGCACTTTTGGTGAACCTCTTTACAGATTTAAGAGTTTTTACACTAATTTTCGTATCTGTAAGTTGATCAGAGATCGGTCTCCATTTCTTAACTCGTAAACTGAACATAACAATCTAAGCTGTGTTCAGGAGTTTATTGCTCACCGGAAAACGAGTAATCTACAAGCGTTTAACAAGGAACAGCCAATCAGAAAGTCGTTTTGTTTCTCATCTGACAAAGAGATTAAAGGATTCCTCGGTTAGTCTTCGAAAATAAATTACAATAGTGCTATTTATAAACAAGTAAACTACAATATTTAGAGAGGAAGCCACATCAGCCTTAGCTGGTTTCCATGCGGGTCCTCTATCCTGGTGGAATTGAAAGAACCCGGAGAAAAACACTCGGAGCAATGCGAGAACCAACAACAAACTCAACCCACATATGGCACCGCGTGAGAACGAGCCCGGACCGCATCAATCTCGTTCTCAGAGTCTTCGTTCCCCTTGACCAGCGGTCGGAAGACGAGTGCTCTGGGAGCAACCATTTCGGGCATGCGCCATAGATGCAGACCGCGCAGTGAAACTGGATGGGCAGAATCACCAGAATGCGGTTATTTCAAAATGGTTACTCCCAGAGCTCTCGTTTTCCGACCGCTGGTCAAGGGGAACGAAGACTCTGGGAACGAGATTGGGACCGCATTGGTGGGAGGTGAGCGCTCTCACCACGGCGCCATCCCTGCTTCAATCCTCTCAGCATTCAGTGCACATTCAGTGCAACTAGCGCTTTAGCGCTAGCCCTTTGGTTGGTGTAATTGTCACTAGTGCATTTTTATTTTCGTTAAAGATAAAAGACCATTTGGGATACCAACCCACAGAGTTAAAGAGCAGCGTTATAGACATGGCTTACAATCTGATCGATGCTGGTTTTATCAAGAAGACGCCACAATACGAGGAAATGAAAAAACAGAAGAGTGCTTCTGGGTCGCAGTGAAGAGATTCACGAACTTCTAGTTTATATCTTGTCGTGAAACGTGTCTTAGTACATGTATCAAGAGGCGCGCTTCTAATAGTTTGAAACAGTAGACTGACGCAAGGTGCTTGCAAGTTTAATCTTGGGGACGGACCATTATTTTTGTGAGGGGGGGGGGGGGTTAAGGCAATTTTTCGAGACATGAAATATTTTTTCTCACTTTTTTGTTGTGCATGTTTGTTTGTTTGTTTGTTTTTTGGTGGGCAATGGCTTGTGCAAGTATTTTTTTAAGTCAAACACAGGACCTGGTTAGTAGAGAGTTCTAGTTGGGCAGGAATTTTTTCCTGGAAGATCGCCCAGCCCCCTCCCTCCCCACCTCAAAATTAGTCTGTCCCTTATAGATTGTATGTATCATGAGTTGGTTTCCGATATTACCTCAATTTGCACGCGAATGTAGTCTTATTAGCCTTGTTTTCTATGCATTTAGTTTAGATTTCGTAGGATAAGGTGGATTATAATCTAGTTACCGACTTCACTGAGGCGGTTTTCTATTACAAGCATAGGCTTCGATTGCTGCTTGCTGCGGATTTGATCATCCAAATACGAAGCAAGATATAGATCGAAGATACATATCAATTGCTCTTAGAGATAGTATATTGTAGTTAATCAAACTGAAAAAGTACCAAATATAATAAATCAACAGAAAAAAAAAAACAATCCGTTAACTTGGGGAAGTTAGAGTTAGAAAGAAAGCACACAAATAAAACTGGATATGGTTTGGTGTCTTTGTTCCGTAACTATACATACATATATATATACACACACTCTTGCTTTTAGAAGAATAGTTATAAAATAACTGAGCTCCTACGCCCGCTCTCATTGGTCGATAGGTGTGTTTAGATGAGAGTGAGTAAACACGGTTGTGACGTTTTAGCTTCGCGCGTATTTTTGAGAATTATTTTATGAAAACAATTGAGCACTTTTTCCGTGTTTACATAGCCTCATCTAAGCACTCGGGGGTTGGGAGAATTCTCGAATTTCCCAACCCTCCTCGTGTTTAGGTGAGGTTATGTAAACACGGAAAAAGTGCTCTGCTGCTTAAATCTTCTAAAAATATCGAGGCTGAAATTTGCGAAATTTTAAGAATATTTGAAGAATAAACCCGAGGCTGAGATTTTGAACAAAATATAATTTTGTGTGTTGAAAATTTGTAAATACAATACAATTATAGGTTTTTAACTAACCGTATAAAATTATTTCTTTCTCTAAACGGCCAAACTAACCGAAGAATACACAGCAACAAAAACAGCATTAGCCGTATGTCCTATACTAATAACATTTCTGCAAGAAGTTATATGTGTCATATCACGCTTCGTTGCCTGCACTCTGGCTCCAAAATTACTTCAACTCCATCAAAGTCCTGACAGGACAGATAAAACGAGCTAAAACGGAAATGCAATACGCTATAATCTAAGAATATTCAGCCTGGACCGGAAGAACATTATTCTTATACACGAGTGCACCAAAAAGACTTCATGCACATCAAGCCTCGATAAATAAACAACACAACTTGAAAGCTACAACAAACAATTCTGACGTTTGCATTACATTACTTGCAAAAAATTTCGGACGATTTTAATTTCGGACAAAAAAGTGTCCGAAAATAAAACAGTCCGAAATTTTTATGCGTCCTAAATTTTAAGCGTTCGAAGTAGTTACAGCACAGTATAAAACTACGAAGTAGCTCCAAAGCTCTTATTTTTCCTTATGCCGGGCTTTATGGAGCGAACTCTAGTTGCACACTGCTTGACATACGTAACAGCTTGATAGAATTTGTGTTATTTTCTCATCGTTTGCGGTAAAACTTTCACTTTCACTGATGTTGTTTTAGTCTAATTCGAGTTTTGTAGGCCTGCGTAAATTTACTTTAGCTCTGTTTCATTACAGTGTCCGAAATTGTTGTCCGAAATGAGATACAAAGCGTCCGACTTGAAATTTTTTGCAAGTAATATATGTATTTGCTAAATAGCAAAATCAACAAACATGCCCGTGCCGCATATGACTATGTTTTGGCATAGTCATAATAGTAAGCCTGTATGGCTTTAATTTTCACTGGTGCTGATTGTGCTCTTGGTTCTCTGCACGGTTTTCTGTCTGTTTTCCATTCAGCTGAATGCCAGTGTCCAATGCTGAGGTAATGAGGGTCTGTGTTAACTGAACGTGATAAGAATTGTTTCTCTTCTTTTTCGTTCTTTCCATTTTCCTCTTCCACAATTTCTTCTTCTTCTTCAGATGAGTCGGACAAAATGCTCCGCGCATCCGTATCTGAAATATAAGTTTGCAAATTTTGGCTGTGATTAGTCATAATACATTGGACCTCGTGTCGTACAATTCAGGGAGTAATCGCGAAGTAATTTCAAAAACGGACGAGCGCGAAGCACGAGGCCGATTTGAAATTGCGAGCATGATTACTTCTTGTACGACACGAGGTCCAGTTACTAGTTAATGGTGTCAATAACAAATTTTGAAATTTAAAAAAGTCTTTCGAGACTTTTTTAAGCGGAAAAGTGGGTAGTGCATTCAATCGGTGTTCATAACTATATGGAACATAAAGATGGGGGCCATTAAAGCCCGCGTAATTGACGTGCGAATGGCGTAGGTATCCAGTTACATGTATCCAATTACAAAAAGTTGTAATTGGACACCCACGTGATCGCGCACCAATTACGTGACAAATAGGCGCGCGGAGAATCAATCGAGAATTTTGTCATGGATACGATTAACAGTCAAATCGCTCTGCGCCCTGAATACATGCGGACTAGGTATTTTAAGTTCGTTGTTACACATGGAAAAGAGCGGAAGAGATAGAAAATGGGGATAGTACAAAAAGAGCTACATAGTTCATCCTAAGGCATGGTAGAGGTCATGGTAGGGATAGCTGAACTGAATTCAGAGTGCCAGCGGTTACACTTATCACTACTTTACCATCAAATTCATCTCTGATAAAGAATGAATTCAGATCAGGCTTGGGAATATAGACTCCTAACTTAGACAGCGCACGAGAATCTAAGTATCTGGCCCTGAAAAGAAATGGCATGAAAAAAGTTATAATACAAATCAAATAACACCATACCTTAAAAAAAAAAAAAAAATGCAAGTTCTCTTCTTTTCTTTGTTTGTTTGGTTTTTTTTTGGTTAAATCGGCTGGTGCAAGAAAAATAAGAACGCATTCTCCAGCTCTGCATTCGTTTTGGTTCGGTCCCTCACTCAGTTTGTTTGCTTACAACTAAAGACACAAAAACAACAACTGAGGACAGACTAGAAAATTATGGCTGGGGTAACAAACTAACTAAAAGAACAAGCTGTTGAAGTTACATTGTTGTGTGTTTTGAAGTTACAAGTTAAAGTTTTCTGCTGTTTTGGTCATAAACAGGGTATGGTTTTTACACTCTTGTCTTGAACTGGGAATCCCTTTTAGAAGCAGCTACTTTTTCATCATTATCGATAAGACCATCAACAAAAGCCCTTCATAAATTATGTTGCAGGCAACTGTGTCAGCTGCAACATTCATAAATAGGATATCAAGTTTTTGGTCAGGTCATAAATAAGGTAGGGAAAATTGCAGATTTTCGTCATAAATAGGGTTAATAAGGGTTTTGGGAAGCGCGCTACACACTGCCACCCAATTTTTCTGAGAGTACCTCCCCCCTTGGGACAGTTCAATTATTGAACTGTCCCAGGGGGACATCATTGATCATAATTAGTTTGTTACCTGTTGTATCGAGCTCCAGTTAGAAAACCATGAAGCGTTTCCCCATGAGGAGGTATCCTGCAAAAAGCAAATGACATGATCCTCCGAATAATTTTCAACTAAGCTGTATGATCCAACTACAGCCACTCTAAAGACCATGCTGAAAGCGTTTTGTTACTCATACATGACAGTTGCTGACTGGCAGCTAGCATTACATCATTTTATATTCATGCGTATCACATTCACAGTATCATACTCACACAAGATTACAGATGTGTGTCACCCCTTAGGGGGATACTCTATAAATCTTTGGGTGGGGGTGTGTTGTTGGGATACTGAAACCCTTACCCTATACTAGACCATGATCAGCTTTATTTTGCAACTAGGCACCAAAAACCCCTATCCTATCCCAGACTAGCTATTTTCCATACTGAAACTTTATCACTATCAAAGGCCAACATAGCTAACGAAATCTGTCAACAAAGACAGGGTGCTTACCATTTACAGAAACCATCCGGTTGGAAATTTCAGGCAAAAACATTAAACAGTTGAATACCACGTTGCGGGAGAAGGAATCGCTATAAAGTATATCCACATCAGTTAGAGAGACTTAAAAGAGCAGAAAAATAGCATCACCTCAAATCACAGCCCATATTTTCAGAAGCTTCCCAAACGGAATGGCGCGAACCATTTGATTTTCCAACTGGAATTTCCGGTTTTCCCATGTAAATGGTAAGTACCCACACTGATTAGGCAGGATTTGTAATTCTGTTTCTGTGGGGTTCTCACTTAAGAGTTTCAATTTCCATACCTAATTATTTATACACTGAATTTCTCAGTAAACAACACCCTATTCTAGACTAAAACTGTCTGATTACTATACCCTATCTCAGACTTAACCGCCTGAAAGACATTATGACCCTTCAAAGCACCACATACCCATGTGGCTTATATGTGGGAGTATCCCCTCCGCCCCCCCAAACCCCTTGGGTTGCTACCTGTGATTAAGACTGCACAAGGTAAAGTTGCTGCTGACTAGGGTCTCACAAACAGACAATACTGCTACTTTGCCTTGTGGCTCTTAGAGCAAAAATTGAAGTTGTCTGGTTCTTACTAAAGAGTAGGAGGGAGTTTTAAAGACCATTACTCACTGTTTAGGAACTGGGCCACTCTTAAAAAATCTGTAGTCATCACCTGTTACAGAAAAAATATATTTATTAAAAGAAGGCTGTCATGTCATACCATTCTGCACTCCACATTGATCGCAACAAAACAGGGAGTTAAACAGGCTGAATAGCAAATCTATTGTTGAGAATACGATTACCCAAGTGGGCAAGATGTTGTTATCTTGCCTGCTTGGGATCGCCCCTCACTAACTGCCAAGCTTGCTCAGTCAAGGTGGCTGGAGATATGGATTATTGCATCTCAGTTTACAAATATGCAAAAAAGAACTTGGCCAATATCCATCCACCGTGATCTCTTATTTAATCATGCAATTACCATACAACCCTTATTCCTGGGATACATATATAACATATTTCTGAAAGTGCCCCATATGATAACCATTTCAGTTTGTTCATACTGGACTTCCATGTGGGTCAGTACTGCTGGGGTTACTGTCTCGTGCCGAGCAATCAAGGAGTCAGGGTGGGCTAATGTTGCAGGGCTGTCATTACGTTTTGATTCACCTGTAGCCTTGATCTTGACACTCGTAATAAACTTGTTACTTTATGGGTGAATTGTATATCAACAACAGGCAAGTTCACCTGTAAACGGTCACATGAAGGGCCCATCAAACATGTTCAACTGTAATTGGTGCTATGGGTTAAGGCTCTTATTGACAGCCCTGATGTTGTACTGTAACTGGACCCAGAAGCAAACAAACTTACTAACTTACGTATTTCACACATACGCTTTTTGCTTGATGATGACTTGTGAGAATAGGTTGACTTAGAAGTTGAAGTTGATGAATGTGAGCACAAAGAGGTGGATGAAGCTGATTTGCATCTTAACAAGCTAAAATGACAACAGAAGATTAATCAGAAGCTAAAAAGACAGTATAATATACTATGTCATGCTATATAATAACCAATAGGGTAATGACAGGGAGAGATATAAAGTGAAAACTTAAAAAAAAAAATTAAAACAGACTGAGAAATGTTCAATGTTTAATACAATACAAATTTAAGGAAGACCTAGCTCAAAAAAAAAAAACACTTAGGACTTAAAAATAAAAGAGAAACTTGAGATCAATTACCAGTAGATTAGGGAAAAATGAGACAGATTTCAAAGGGCAAACCGATTTCCCATGTAGGCTAACCTAAGATGTTACATTGGTGATGTAGACATCATTGTCATGCAGGAGTCCAGCTGTTCAGTGCATAGATAACATGATTCACTGACGTTACCTGGTCTGAGAAGTGAACAGTTTTTGGAAAGTGAAGCTACAGAAAAACTGTGAGTTTCGAGAAAAAGATTATTCCCAAGGACAAATATCCAAGGATATTTTCAAAGTAAAATGGGGGCGAGTGTTTATTACCCTTGAAATATTTTGGCAACACAAAACATTTGGGAATATGCAAGATTCCTCAGTTTTAACTAGGGCATGTTCAGTCATGCGATGTGTTTAGACCAGTCGCATGAAAGTGAGAATATTTGATGGATTAAAAGTCGCAATACCTGGATTTAGTATGTCTTCCAAGGTGTGATGACTGTTCCCTTGCTGTGAGAGGACGTGAGGCATAACTGTAAACTGTACATGAGGATTGTGGTCTAAATGGTTGTCGTGGAGACTTGCCAACATCAGGCATACTCTGGTAATCTAGTGGTGAGTATTCAGTTGCATGGGGTCGTCGTAATGCAGATCCCACCAAAATATGCTGCAAAAAAAAAAAAAAAAACAGAAAAGAGACAAAATGATAGATGAGAATGCAGCCATAACACTACTGGAACTGAAAGACCTGAAAAAATTTTCAGGCTTTGAACGGGATCTGAACCCACAACCTTTGCATTACCGGTGTAATGCTCTCCCAACTGAGCTATCAAAGCCACATGAGAGTGGTATTGTGTGGATTGGTGCTTTATGTTCAGTGGACGTAATACTCGCCTCAAGTATATGAATTTCAAGGTAATACATGTATTTCCAAAAAAAAAAAAAAAAAAAAAAGATTAAACCAAGTGGAGAATAAGGCCAGGAAAAAATATATTACACTGAAAATTAATTTACTACATGTATAAACATTTTTATACCTGTGAATTCTGATTATGAGTGTCTTGGTCGATAGATACACAGCTGTGACTTTGTTGACTGCATGGTCTGGAATGAACCGTGTTCCTGGAGTTGCAGCGACTCTCTACTCTTTCAGCTGATCCTATAATAATATAATAATAAACTAGGAGGCTTCCAATCACCTATAGTAGTGGGAGGGTCCTCTAAAAGATAACGGGCTAAAATACATTAAAAGTCTGCATCAACAGAGATGCAGACTAAAATGACCACTTTTAGATGCTCACACAGACATTTAATTTGACATTACCTCGAAACTCATAAAAATGATTTAACCTTCCTATCAAGAAGACACTTGACGGGCAAGAATAATGAAATTGTCTACTAGTTTTTCTGGCAATTTCAACAGATCTTGTATAAAGACAAAGCAAATAATTTCAAGAAACCAATGGGAGCAAAAATAGCCAAAGAAGCCAATCAACTCCGTTAAGAACGCTATGTTTGGATAGCTCACACGAAATTGATCATCACTGACCTTTTCTGTTGTTTAAATCTTGTGAAAGATCGAGGGGCAAATGAAATTGGTAATAAGTGACACTACCCCTCTTCTCGTGCATCTTGTCACCTCATCCTTTCGCGGACGTTTTCAAATCCTCTAGAACCAGAATAGAGTACAGCACGAGCTATAACTCTACAAAAATATCAACTCATTTTCAGCATGGCGGATGGCCGCCATCTTTTCAGAGTCTGCTGCCGTTGCCAAGTTGCCAAGTCAACTGAGACCGTCTTGACTCCAGGCTCTCGCTTTTGCTCTCGCCGTGGGCTCCTGGGCGAAATATACGGTAACGCGACTGAGCCATAACGCGCGTACATAGCCAGCCAGAGCCAATCAGGTGCTCTTGACTCTCTAACGTCATTCTCATTCTTTCTTTTCCTGAGGCGGTATTTCTGGGAGATGTACATTTATTAACATTTATTAGTTTACTTGCCAGTTGGTTCCATTCTCTGGCGATAACTTTAAATAAATGCCATTCAAATAATAGGGTTAGTAAAGAGCGGAAGATCCCAAAATCCCTAACGATTCAAGAATTAAAGAAACTGTAATTTCACACTGCCATATCAGAAATACTAATAACATACTACTACGTGTCGTTTAATAGCTTTGCCAAGCTTTCAGTGGTAGGGGATGGTTGAAATCATAACAAGAGACCTGGGTTCACACTGGGTTCACGCTTTTTCCTGCATGGGCGAAGCAGTATGTAAGTGTATTAGCCTGTGAACACGCTCCCGCTCGAAGAGTCTGACCACGGCTGAAAGTCCCCATCCTCGACCAGAGAGTCTTTTCCCAGGCTAAAGTGTATACACCGATACACAATGAACGAGGTAACTTCTCCTTCGGTTATGCACTCTTTTTAACAAGAATATATTTTATAAGAGACGGAGATTTTGGAAACAATATACCCGGGAATACAAGCTTAAGTTTGTATGTTGAAAATTTGTAAACACAGTACAATTATATGTTTTTAATAAAGTAAAGCGAATAAAATTGTTTCTTTCTCTCAACGGCAAAGCTAGCCAAAAAACAACAAAAACAGCACTAGCCGTATGTTGTCTGCAAAATCAGCACTAACCGGAGGGTGTCTGCAGCCTGGCTACAAAATTACTTCCACACCATCCAGACACCATACACATTCGACAACAGACAATGTCATGCCCTAATTTATAGGAATATTTGCAAGAATATTTTCAGCCTAAAATCGGCAGAAAAAGAGGAATATTCAGTCTCGGCCAGAAAAAGAATATTCCTATAAAAAAGGAGTGTAGGCTAAGGAAAACGGCGTATCCACTTTTACATGTAATATTGAATGAATAAATGACTTTATTTGAGTGTCTAGGTTATTCAGCTGAAAAACTAATAGGGGAAGCTGTATAAAATATTCAATATAAAGTCGATAAAAACAAGGTGAAATATACACTGAACTGACTAAAATTAACGCATCAGTTGCTTCATAAAATGAAGTCAAATATTTATAATAATTCCTAACTCAGAATCTAGGAAAATTCTCATTTCGTAAATTACAATTTTTACAGGCAGCAAAGACACCTGTCCCATTATTAAGGTTTCTTTCGTGGAGGGTTTCTGTGACACAGTCCGCAGGCTAACCACGAATCCGGCCATTGTAAACGTTATTCCGCGTTCCTCTTATCCACTTAGCAAAATTCATCTGAGTTTTCTGAACGCGTATCTACTTTGCACAAAATATATTATGAACTTTATGAACTCGTATCCATGTATCCGGTCATGGGAGGTGCATACCTTTAGCTTCAGACCCCCCAGAGTGCCCAGACCCCTGCCGTACTACACTGAAATCTTCCTCCAATTACTTTATTAAAATGGTCAGGAAAAATTTGGAACCCGTTAACTACTTGAAAGTATACTTGAAAGTAGCCTTTGCGGAATGTAGCGATAAAGAAAAGCTATCAAATCCGGCCGAAAGTAACGGGGATCGTTAATACTTTCAGAACTTTAAGGCAACAAGAAAGACGGCCGAGTATGGCTCCTGCCGAGATTCAATTTAGACTAAAATAACAGACTACAAACTCGAATTAACTTGTAGGTTAGCAATTAGCCGAGCTTAGCGGTTAGTTTTTAGAGGTAGAGTTAAGTTAGAGAGTTATGATAGTTTTCATGCTGGTACGAAGTAGGTCAAGGTAAGGGTTAGTCCGCAGTCTGCAGTCTAAATTTTACACTGACCGCAAATGCTGCCCAGAGGCAGAATTCAGGCGCTCTGAAATTCCCGAATCTCTGAGGAACACAGAAGTTTGTTTCTTTACGATCCCAAGGTTCGTTGACTTACTTTGTTCAGAGAACAATGGTGTCAGTTATGCAAACGACCTTTTAACGATTCTTTGCTGTTCTACGCCAATCGAAAGTTACAACTGTGGAAAGTCGCGGAAAGTTTGTCACAAACAAACTGTTCGCTGTCATGCCAACAGCTTAGACGTGACGTCACGACGAAGTAATCAACGTGATCTCGCGCAAAGGACAAATTTTCATTACAAAACACCGTGGAACTTATTCTTCTAATTGAGGAATATTTTATCACATATTTCAAGGAGGTCACTTCATTATTTACAGATAGATTTGATACCGTGGATTGTGTGGAAATGTGTGACTTGCACTCGTGTGTTTTGAATGCCAGCTGAGTTGTTTGGAGGAGTTCTTCGTACAACATGACAATTCACTCACGTTCTACTAAGTGCAGCTGGAATTTCTGCACATAGCAAATGCCTTGATCGACTACGTTATTACTTTTCTTCGACACTTCTACCTCACTCAAGAATTAAACAGAGGAAGCCTTAAATATGGGGATTTTATACATTTTAAACTGCAGTGCATCTTGGAGCGGGAAACTGCGGGCCAGCTTCGTTGTAATGTTTGGGTTAAGCTTAATTCTTCTGAGCTACACAGGTGAGATTAAAACGTCATGCCATCTTTTATGCTCTTTCTTAATAGACATTCTTATTAAACTTTTGGTTTTAATATTTTTGCATTCTTTCCTAGATTTAGTTAGCGCTCAAGCGCCTTGTGATTGCGAGACCGAATGTCCTTGTAGTCAAAGCAATTGCACTGCGGGGCAATATTGGCTTTCTGATGTTGGATGCGTTGAATGTCCTGCCGGGCACTTGTAAGTAACAATCCTTGCTACGAATATTCATATAGATTATACTCTAATTCACAACAACCTAATAATAGACTAATAGAGTTGAAGGTATTCTCATCTGGAAGTACGAACTCAAGCTTAATTGTTGATTATATTCGATTAAAAAACAGGAACCTCCGTTGTAAAAACGCTATCTTGTTTATACTTTGATCTTATGTCGGTGTATAATATATTGTTTTTATCTCAATTGCACTGGAGATTTCACTAACCTAGATCGATATTATGACTGTTATATAGCTGCCTGGGAAACGACACAGCTCCAGAGCCCTGTCCAGCAGGAACCGAGAACTCGAACACGGGTTCGGTGAATTCGTCAGCCTGCTCGGTAAGATGGTTTAGTTGTTCACACAGATTCGATTTCATCAAAGCTTCAGAGGTAGAATTATCAGTTTACAGTCAAACCTCTCCACAACGGCCACCTTGGTTACAGAGGAAAGCTGCCGTTGTAGAGAGGTGGCCGTTATGGGGTGGTAAGGTTGTAAAACAACACTTGATTGTTTTTGAGGTGCAACTTTTCTATTTTTAAAAAACTGCTTACAAAGCATATAAATACGTAACACAATCAGAATATATTGATATAACTAAAATCAAACAGAAACAGAGACCAACAACGTGTGGTACAGATAAGATTTGTGACCTAATTTACTGTAAAGAATGGGTTGTGGTATATATTGTTAGTGAGTCGTTAGTTAACTGGCTGTTGTGATGAGGTTATTTTGGCAGTAGGGATGCACTTTAGTGGCCGTTGTCATTGTAGAGAGGTGGCCATTGTAGAGAGGTTAAAATAAGAGTGAATCTAAACTGTCCGTGAGGACAAAACAGTGGCCCTTATAGACAGGTGGCCGTTAATGGAGTTTTGACTGTAACTCCTGCCTCATACTGCCAGCTAGATGTTAAAGTAACTTGATGCTCTGTGATTTAAATTTGTTAGCATCACTGATAGATGCACTATTTCAGAAGCCACTTTAATACTCAGATTATGACTTTTGAAATTTTTGCAATCAGTTATCTGTACAGGCAGAACGAATACCCTTCTCAGTCAGGGTGAGGTAATTAAATTTGCAATAAGCCAATCAGACACATTGTCTATGATCCTGTTATCTTGTGATATTGTGTCACTGACAGGTCTGATATGGTTAAATGTGGATATATATGGTAAATATACCAAATGGTACCATTTTGGTTGGCTTTGAATTTGGTTAGCGTTGAATTTGTTGTGTGGTTGTTTAACAGGTTTGCGAGTCAGGATCAAACAGCTCAGCAGGGTCAATATCGTGCTCTCCCTGTCCTGCTGGTTATGACTGCACCTCTTTATCTGGGAATGTCACCCTGTGTGCAGCTGGAACCTATTCGAATTATGGAGAAGGAATTTGCCATTCATGTCCCAGTGGCAAGGTGTGCTTAGATCCTTCACAGCAACCTCAGGTACATTTCTTCGTTTTGGTTTTAGTGATTTCTGTCCATCACTATACAATTGCTGGTCACCAATAACTGCACACTATCAGCAACATCAAAAAGTAATGCCACCCCTTATTACACTCATGGTTTTTATTGTTATTGATATACAGTGAAACCTGTATTAAGCGGACATCCTTGGGACACTCACTAGTGTCCACTTAATGCAGGGTGTCTGCTCTAAACAGGTTGTAATATATTGTGCAGTAATAGTTAATTATTAACCTTTTGCAACTCAGTGTAACACAGTGTAAGATCAAAGTCTGCATGCATATAGAACAATGTTCAGTCAGTAAATGCATCAATCTGAAATAATCTACTTAGCTTTAAAAGGACATGGCTGAACAATGTTAAACGAGTCTGAGCTGAGCTTTTAGAAGCAAAAAGCCCTTGAAGTGTCTGCATTTTGCAGGTTTTGTACAACAAAATGGCTTAATATTGGCGTCCGCGCCTGCTCAACAGAGACCTGTGTCTGCTGAACGCAGGTTTATTTTACAGTAAATGTGGGAAGAAAATTTAGGGACTCAAGCTGGTGTCCACTTAATAGAGGGTGTCTGTTTAGTGTGGGTTCTGGTTAATATGGGATCACTGTTAGTAATATTATTTTAAAGGCCCAGTACTGACCACTCTGCCTATTGTGAGTCTGTTATTGTTTTGGTTTACATGCAAATAGCAGCATTTCTATTGTTTTCAAATGCTCACAATACATCCAGGCCAAAACTAACTTGAAATGATTCTTTAAAAATTCTTGAACAATAATAACGTATTCAGCATGTTGAATCCTTTGAAATTAATTTTTTTATTAGTACTGTCCTGGAGGTTATGAACCAGATGGTTTGCAAACACAATGTTCCCCTTGTGGGGCAGGAACATTTTCATATAATGGAACATCATGTCAAACATGTGCTAATGGAAGCTACAGTCTCGAAGGAGCAGCAGAGTGTACTGTCTGTCCACCGGGACATCAGTAAGTGTGACTAATGTTCAGTAATACTTAAAGGCAATTTTTGCTGACTCCAGAAATTTCCCAGTGTGAGAGGTATTTCTGTGTATGTTTAAGGGCTTGGGGTATCAATGTGACCTGTGCTTATTGTTTTTTTAGGAAATAGCCAAAGAAAATATGTTTGCTGATTGGTTAAATAAAACTGTTGGAGTGATCTGTGCTCATAGTTCTTTAAAAAACGTTTAAAACAGATCTAAAAAAGGTCTAGATAGCAGCAGACATGTAAAGATTTTAAGGAAAACAACCAATTTTTTAAGTTTAAAAGACATGTTTCGACAGAACTTCTGTCATCTTCAGTTGAATGAATGATTACAAAGCAAGTTGAATAATAAGTAGGCAAAAATGCTAATTAAGACAAATAGTAACAACAGAATGTGAAAAGGTGTAAATTAAAAGGATAATTTTAGTTTTACATGGTGTAATTGCTGATTGAGGCAAGGTAGCTCTTTTTGAATATGGATAGCCTCCTTTATCTTGAGTTGAAAGCTTTAAGATAGGTAACCTTTTTGGTGTGAAAGACCCTATCCCCGGTGGGCTTCATTCACGTGTGGTTTATAAGTTTACATGTGCAGGCTGTAATGCCTGTTATGTCGGAGAAACCTCCCGACATTTTTCCACACGCGTACGTGAGCACTTAGCCGTTGATAGGGCCTCTCACATCTTCAAACATCTTCAGAANAGATGACAGAAGTTCTGTCGAAACATGTCTTTTAAACTTAAAAAATTGGTTGTTTTCCTTAAAATCTTTAGATCAAAAAGTAAAATTGTCTCTAAATTTTTGACCGCCTTCTGCGGTCTTCTTCAGAGAATGATGATTTTGCGTGATTCGCAGAATTTTCATAAGCTGGGACATTATTGTTCGTTGCCCCCTAGGGAGGCAACCAGTGATGCGTAAACCCTTGGGAAGGGTGCTCTTTCATTTACGGAGTTTTTGTCTAAGAAAAAAAAACTGGTTAAAAACTGTTTCTATTAAGCAGTTAGATTATGTGCTCGAGATTTCTATTGCGTGATAGTTGATGAGGGTGCAGCCCAAGTCAACTATCACGTATAGAAATCGAGAGCGAATAATCTAATTGTTTTAGTATAGATCTACTAGTCGTTCAAAACTTTATCTAAATACTCTTCACAGACATCTCAAAAACGCCAAGAGGCGGCTGTCATTTTGTTAACAAGTGCACGCTGCTATGCGACTCACTATCTATCACAAAATAGATAGTGAATAGTGTAGCTAATCAGAGAACGACGTTCGTGATAGAACGCTAGTATATTTATACTAAAACGCCATAGAAACACAGAACAAGCACAAGCTGTTGACGTAATGATGGCATGGGCAAAGAGAATTTACATTTTGATGATCAAAGAAAAGAAGTTGTTTCCTTTTTTGTCGCAGAAACACTCGCCTGTCGTCTTGTGTTCCCACAGCATTTCTCATTCTCCCAATCTTCCACTCGTGTTTCTATTAATTAAAACAATTAGATTATGAGCTCAAGATTTCTAGTGAGTGACAGTTGACAAATCTTCTTCACAGGCACTTCGAAAATGCAAAGAAGCAGCTCTCATTTTCTAACAACCGCACACTGCAAGGCTACTCACTATCTACAACAGAATAGACAGTGAGTAGTGTAGCCAATCAAAGAACGACGTTCTTGATAGAACGCTAGTAAATTTACACTCAATAGAAACGCGCTACATGTTTTCTCTTTCTTAAATGGAATATAAGCATGCAGTGTCCAAGATAGGGGAAGCATGGTGGGGTACTCTACCTTGTCAAAGAACAGGACACAAGGGGATGTACTATCCTCCAGTTGTCTTACCATGATCAGACTGCCTCCTGTAGTGAAAAATGTATTTTTAAGAAGACTTGAAAGTACAATTATAAACTAAGACAACCTAAATATAAAACCTGTTTTTGACAAATGCAAACCTTGTTCCTTTACCATTAGATGCTTGAACAAAACTATCGAGCCAGTGAGATGTAATGCTGGGGAATATGCAGCTGCTGGAAAAACTAATTGTTTAGAGTGTGACAAAGGATTTTATTGCCCAAATGTACCATTAGCAAGTCCTTTACCATGTTTTAATGGTACTTACACTAACACTGTGGGACAAACAGAATGCCAGCTCTGCACAGCAGGAAACTTCTGTCCTTTTGCATCTCAAGGAGAGCAGCCCTGTGAGAATGGGACATACAGTAAGAATGGGTCAACTGTCTGTACCGAGTGTCCAGGTGGCCACAGGTTAGTTATAATCTAGTACTATTTTCTTGCCCACTTGGGTAGCCACTTGCAGAGCTAGCCATATAATAAAATGTCTGACTGCATCTCACACAACAGATACTTCATTGTCTTGATGTGCCTGCCATGAAAATTTATGTTCATTATGGTCAGTAACAAAAAGAAATTTTGGGATTCAGTAGGGACAATTTATGCTTTGATTGTATTAAATAAGACTTAGCCATTTATTGCAAGTCTAAAATGTTAAGAATAATTTTTGTCAACTCACTTGGTTAATTTAATATGTTTCAGCTGTGCTGATCCAAGTGCAGATCCATCACAGTGTTCAAGTGGAACTTATGCACCATCAGGAAGCCTGCAGTGTCTGTCGTGTCCAAAAGGATCTCACTGCCCATCTGCAGGGCTTGTAGAATACATTCCTTGTGTCAATGGCACTTATACAGACAGTGTGAATCAAACAAGCTGTCAGAGCTGTCCAGCTGGTCAGAAGTGTCCAAATCCAGCCCAATCACCAGAGGACTGCCCCAGTGGGACCTATAGTATGGGTGGGCAGGCAGATTGTTTGGTGTGTCCTGAAGGTCATAGGTGAGTACTGGTATATTGCTACAGCAAATGGAAAAGTTTTATTAATCGTAATATATACATTTAGCCAAGCCTAAAAGTGGAGCCCCTGATTTCAATAAGTTAACCTGGCTTGAGCCTTCAGTCCAATTGAAAACCAGTACCTGGGCAGAGGTTAACTTTAAAAAAAATAGTTGTCTCCAATGAGCTCTAAACCTGAGCCTGTGATATGGTCATGTGATACTGGTCAGCAGATACCTTGTTTTGCCAGGTGTTACTTGACCATAAGATGAATGTCCAATATTCAAGATACATACTGTATACCAAGACTGCATGCCTTGATCGTCCTATTAGTTGGAGTATGGGAGCCATGTTGTGGGACATCATCGTTTTTGTCATTGTGGGTGCACATGCCCGCTATCCATGCTGCTAGCCATGCTGACCATGAAAAAAAAGTTGCTTGGTTTTCTATTGCTACATGTATGCATGCATGTGGTTCAGTTCTTATTATAGTTATGGTGCTCCGCTTGGCAGACCTTCGGGCTTCCTGAGCTCCGCTATTATTTTAAAGGGGCTGAGTAAAAATGTCATGACTCATTGTTCCTTTTTTTTTCTTGTAATTATTTTTTAGCTGTCCTGTGAACTCAGAGGACCCTAGTCCATGCAGAAATGGCAGTTTTGCTCCAGCCAAGAGCACCTACTGCTATTCATGTCCAATTGGCTCACAATGTCCATCTGAAAAGCTTTCTTTCCACCTTCCTTGTGCAAACGGTTCTTTCTCAGTTGTGGAGAATGCCACTAGCTGTACTGAGTGCCCTGCTGGTTCAAAGTGTCCCAATCCTGCTGTGGGACCAGTACAGTGTGAGAATGGGACGTACAGTAAGGCTGGAGCCACCCACTGTATAGAATGTCCAAGTGGACACAGGTGAGAAGTCATTTTACTTGTCTGGAATTGTTTTTGGTTTGAAAACAATCTAAGCTAACAGTTGGTACAGTTAAACATTACAAGGCTGGTATCTGGAATAACAAGTCTATCCAAGTTAAATTCTACAGTACCGGTCAAAGGGACTGCAGCATTACACGCGTGTGAAGCGTGCGTACTACACGCACATTACACACAGTGTCCACACACCTTACACGCACCTTACACGCAAATACACGAAAATGCATGTAATTACGCACAGGAGACGTGATACTACGTGTAAAATTAATTGCAGTCGTTCAACTGGAACTCATTAAGTGCGTGTTATGAGAATGAAATAATAAAAGTGCGTGTAACGAGAACAAAATATTTACTGTGTAACATTTACTGTACTGCACTGCACTACGATGCAGTTTCGTCTTTCACCATCTTGCTTCTGGTCATCAAACGTTTCCGATAGAATCAACCAGTTTCCCTAAACTGGCTTACCGCTTTACAGTAAAAGTATTTTTTCTGTTGTAGTTTCAACAAGAGGAGCCAGCGACTGGCAGGTGTGCTAGGATTCACTAAGATAACAGAACATAAACATATAATGTCAATTTTAATTTCAAAATTACAGCAATCAGTGTACTTTAAATCAATCTGAAGATTCATTAAAAATATTTTGTACTCCGAAGTATTTGGAGTTTACTGGTGTTCACAAGGTTTTCATGACGTGTTTTTTTCTTTTCCTGAGAAACAACAAGGGCATCAGCGACTGACAAACTGAGGCTCGACAGACACGAAATAACAGCAAATACAATATTTCGGTTGGGATTTTTCAGTTGATTTGTAAACATCAGTTATCCTTCTTTAAGTTTAAACTGAAGCATTTGAAGATTCGTCATTAATAATACTCAGAAGCAAATGTTCTCTATCTGATAACATATTGTTTTGATCTGATAAAAATGAAATTCGATCTGTTTCATGAATAGCATTGCCTAGCATGTGACCAAAATCTACACAGGCGAAAATCTTGTGCAGTGTGAAAGTTGTTTGTTGTTACTACTTCATTTTATTCCACACGCGTATACATATACAGCCATGCAATGATCTGTCAACCGGACTTAACCCACGGATGAAAATCTGAATGTTTTTCTCGAATCTAGCTTATCGGCAGTCAAATGTATTGTAATTTACTTTTATTACAATTTTAATGGCAATTAAATCTAAGTCTAAAGGCGTACACAAACAGGCAAAGCCATAAAGATAATCTGTAAAAGAGTGGAACACTCCATGCGAGACAGATCACCATGTAGCTAATCTAGATAAATAATTGTGTAATGACAATCAAGAAAAAAAAATTAAATCAAATATTCATTCCTCACTTAAAAACTTCTTCATTCTCGACTTAAAAACTGCACAACTAGGAGATAACGTAATATCTAAGGGTATCGAATTCCACATCTCCACAATTCTATTAAAATAAGTGTTTTTAAAAGTAGTTCTAGCAAAATTTGTCGAATTTGCTGAATAATTGAACGAACCGGTTGTAAACATTGCGGGTTGTAGCCAGAAGGTTGCACACGAATCTGATGAATTGAAAATTAACAAATGCTTAACTTTTGTTCAGAAAAAGCTTCGATTTTTCGCCGTTTAAGATTAAGAGAGAGTCTGTGAGTTTCTGTTTGAATCCCTATTTCATTGTTACTGCAATAACAGGAGTTGAAATGACATTTCGTGCGTGGGTAGACATTACTTTGCGATGTACATTGTACGTGTTCTAACATAAATGAAAGCTCAGAGATCTTTAATGTTAAGCAGAAGTGCACGCTGCTACAGATTAAGAAATAGTATTTGTTTGATAGGTGCTCAAGCTAGTCCACTTTAATAGTTAGCAATGCTTGTTCGCTTTTAAATTTACATTTTGTTGTGAACATTGAGAGTCATGTGTATCGGGAATACAAGTTAGTAGTGGCTTTTTGTTTTGCAAAATACACACAAATGCGTGTATGCATAACAAAGGTTTCTTCTTCCAATTAAATTAAACGCATACAGGTTAAATTGCACACAAATGCGTGTAACTACCAGATGAGTAAATTTTACACGCGTGTAATTACACGCACTTCACACGCACCTTACATGCAGTGTCCACGAATACTACACGTAGACTATACACATTTTACGCACTTGTAGGTGCTGCAATCCCTTTGACTGGTACTGTAGAGTGATTTTTGCTGTTAAGTTAGGTCACATTTTGAGATTATGGGCAAGGTGTGAGAAGAGTGTTGCTTAGTAAAACAGTCGAACCTCTGTTTGCGATTGCCTCTTGTGAGCGACCTCCTCTCCTCGGCAACCAATTTTCTTTTGTTTTTAACCTCCTATAAGCAACCACTTGACAAATAATAGAGTGTAAATTGAATGATAATGTGTTGTAACTTTATCGCATTCTTGGGTAGTACAAGAGACAGAAATTTCTCAATGGGAAGTACCGGATTTTTTCTTGAAATTGACTTTTCATATGAGTAAAACAGTTTAAACATGGGTTAAGTCAAGTCTGCAATTACCATATGCTAATGAGCCAAAATTTAGACCCAATATGGTCTAAGCTCTCTTAAGTGATCACCTCCCGTAGGCGACCACCCAATATGTCAAGCCTAAGTGGTCGCTTACTGGGGGTTCAACTGTTTATCAAGTTGATGTTTTTCCTTGATGACCACATCAGCATAATGGACAGCTAGGACCTTGGTACAGTGAGACTGTGAGAGAACGCTAGCTACACAAAAACTCATTTGAATATAAAAATACTGTCGTTGTAGTCAGGCATAGTAATAAAATCTTAAAAGTTGTTGTCACTGACTTAAAAATCTTAAAATAGACATTTCGACTGAAATACTGTAACCTTCTTATGTGATGAAATGAATGTTAACGGCATCTAAATGTAAATGAGATGTTTATAAGAATGTGAGGAACTCGCTAGGGATTAATTTAGCATTTTGTAAATGTCTGGAATATGCGTGTGGTCATT